TATTTTTTTTAGTTCTGATTATAATAATATTTTTGTCTAATGCTGAAGTAATATTTTGGATTTTCTCCTCTAAATTTTGTGCATGCTCAGTTATTATTGTTTATTTTGTAAATATGCATTCATATATAACTTTAATAAAGGTAATAAAAAGTTAACGCTCAAAGTAATTTTAATGATTTTATTTAATATAAAATGTATAAAGAATCTCTTATAAATCTGAACTTCTTTAAAAATATTTCAATATAAAAAACAATTATTTGTTGTACATTCGATAGATTTAAACAATAGCAATACTGTTTTCCTCCTAAAAAAATCTATAATTTTGTCATCATACACATGACCTCCAGTATGACACCTATAAATAGAATTTGCAGTTCAATAATATTTCACAGTTCAAATTCTTGCTTATTGCAAGTCCCATAAAACCATATCTGCCTCTAAAATACGACAGAAAGAAAAGTACAACCGTTCAAACTTCTGGAGGATTTGATTTTATTTACTTTGTGATTCCAAATGACTCTTCTATAAAGAAAGCAAAAAAATATGCTATAAATTATGTTCAGAGGAAAAATCGTTTACCTGATGAACCATAATCCAACACTACCAACATTAATTTAATTTTTTATGTAAATTTTCCTAGTTAGGATTCAATTATAAATTATAATTAACTGATGATTTCAAAAAATAAATAAAGTTCATAAACTAAAACAATCTAAATTATTACTACTTTGATTTCTGATAGCAACCTTTTGAAATTTTATTACTGTTTCTACTTTTGCAGGAGGTATCATTAATTTAGACTATTTTTGAAGATGTAAATCAAAGTTGCAATAAGTGAATTACAATAGGTATCTCTAATCTCAAAAATACTTGTTTCCAACCTGGATCTAAAAAACCCATCAGAACTCATCAACCCACCAACCTTCTTAATGAAAACTCAACTTATTTTTTACTTCAGATATTAATAATGTTGTTTTATTTTATTTTTTGTTTAATAAAGAACTTTAACTAGTAGTCATAAGTTCGTTATCTATATATTTTTATTATCTTTACTAAGAATTAGTTTTTGTGTAATGGATTAAGTTTAAGTTTCGCAATCAGCAGATATGTTAAAAGTATTTTTTAAAATTAGAACTTTATTAGATCTATTGTTTTCAGATTCATCTTCAAACTTGTCACCTCTTGAAAATACAAAACATATGCTAATAATAAAAAAGAATATAAATTATACTACTTTAATATCTTATCAACATTTCTTAAATAAATAATAAAATTTGTTTCTTTGTTAATTTGTATACTGTATATAATTAAAAGAATTTTTCTCATTAGAATTTTAAAATTTAAAATTACACTAGTCAAATACAAAAGAATCACTGTATCAAATGGTAATTTTTATTTATAAATTAGCTAAAATCAAAATCTTTATATTATAGGCAAGCTAAAATCAACTGTCATTTTTGCTCCTATATTATATATCAGCTAAAATTAAAAATTCTATTTGCACCATCTATTCCTTTGTGTTTGACCTGTGTTAATCAAATCAATATATTAATTTATTATTCTAATTAAATAAAATTTTATTTATTGATAAGTATTTCTATAATATAGTGGTTTTATTTTATTCAGATATATAATATTTAAAATAAATTTATTAACCAATTATAAAAAAGTTAATTATTTGAGATACCTTATGACTATAGTATACATGTTATCAAAATTATTGTATTAAGTTAGATGTAATTAAAAATTGAAAAAATTAAGTAAAATTTTCAATTTTACTAATAATTAAAATAATTATTTGAGTTAGATATAATTAAAATTTGAAAAAATTGAAATTGAATCAATGGATTTGAATTTAAATAACTTACACAATATAAACTATAGTATAATAAATTTTATGTGACTTGAAATCATGTTGATTATTTAAATTATATAACATATACCATAATATAATTTTGATATTACCTTTTAACCTAATATTTAAAAATTATTCTGTTAATTTAAACTAAGATTTGACAGGAACAAGGGAGAAACTCTTTCCAACAATTATTTTGCCAAAATTTTCAAGGAAAAAAAAAAATATAAAAAACACTACAAACAAATAATACAAACAACAGCAAAACATGAACGAGGAAAAGCAGGGTGAACGTACACGTCCCAGATGAACCACAGCAAACTATGGAACTAAAAAGAAACATGAAACAATAAGCATCAGCAAGAAAGGTGGAGAAGCAGTTCGCAACACTTTAAGTATAGGAGGAATTATCCAGACAGGTTATAACCTTTTAAGCTCTGGAGCAGGAACTTTGAACAGTAACATGGAAACAACAGCAACAAACAACAATACTATTGAACAGAGTCAAGAAATAGATGCAAATATGGAAACAGAAACTTTATTGAATAAAGAAATGGAAGGAAAAAATACATCAAAAAATGATAAAGGCAAAGCAAAAGAAGTATACAACAATAATGCAGAAATTAGTGAAGAAGAGGCTAGTGACAGTGAGTCAGTGGTAACAGTAAACAGCTTCCAGAGTGAACATGAAGAGTGGAGAAAAATGGCAAAATTGGAAAAATATAAAGCCTGGGTAAAAGTATCAGTAGTTAAGGGAAAAAATTTAGGGGAGAAAATCCAAAATATTACTTCAGCATTAGACAAAAATATTATTACAATCAGAACTGAAAAAAATAGAGATGATCGCGAACTATATATTGCAATTTATTTTGGAAAAAAGGAAGATATGGAAAAGGCATGTGAAATGGAAATTGAAGGGAAAATGGAAAATGATAAACCTAAACTTGTTAGAACTACAATAACTCAAAATAGAAACAACAATAAGGAAAAAGGAGTCAAATTTTGGGATATTCCTGTAGGCATGCGCGAACAAGAATTCAAACACATGCTTAATCACAAATTTGGAAAAGTAATTTCGTGTACAATGTCCACAAGAGGTATGTGGTCATCAGCAATTGCATATTTTGATGATCCTAACATTTCAGGACAAATTTTATCTGAATGGTCACAAACAGTAGGAGAAGAGTCATGCAGGGTGTCAATCCCAAGTATGACATTTACAGAATTAAAAAATAGAGGTGCACATGCAGTTAAATTAATTAATTTACCACCTGATATGTCACCACGTGAGTTACATGTGATCATAGCACAAATGGGAGCAAAAACATGTTATTTCCCTCGAAATCTATATGGGAAAAAGAAAAGAATGGCAATTGCAACATTAGAAAGTGAAGAAGGAAAAAGGGAACTTATAGGACAAACATGGGAAGCAGGAGAATATATGATTAAAATAGTGGATATAAAAACAAAAACATGTCATAGATGTCATGCAGAAGAGCATTTGGTATTAAATTGTCCAATTGCAAAAAGACAAAAAGAAATAAATGAAAGAAAGACCAAAGATTTTGAGAAATATGGATACATGTATAAGACCACTAGACCACGTTTATATCAAAACTTGAGAAATCAAGTAGGTATGAGAACTGAATATTCAGATGCAGTTAAAAGAAATGTACCTACAATTAGAAGAAATACTGGTTTAATAAATAACCAAGAGGATCCACTTCAAAATATAATGAATATGCTTGAAACTATCAAACAAGATATAGTAGAAATTAAAAAACAAACAAAAAATATTGATGAAAGAGTACAATATTTGGAGGAATATGCTGGATATAATTTGGAAGAAAAAGTAGATCATATGAGTGAGGATGAGGAAGAAGAAAAAGATACAACAGAGAATGGTGAGAAAGAGCTTACAGAAAAAACAAAGAAATTGCAAGAAACACAAATGGAACAAATAGCAAATACAGTTAAAATGTTAGCAGAATTAATACCAGAATTGAAAAAATCCAATGATGAAACACAAGAAAGATTAAGTAGAATGGAACAATCATCTATTTTGTCAAAACATAGAGAACAAACAAAGGCTGCTTACAGTCAAGAGAACCAACAATTTTAATAATTTAAACATGACAGATAATTATAACAACACAAAAAATAATAATAATAATATAACAGAAAGTGAACAAACTTCATTAAAAAATGATTATATAATTAATATAAATAATGAACATTTAAATAATAACATATTAAATAATATTTCAGAAAATAATAAAAAATCAAAAAAAAATATTAAAAATAATGAAAAAACAAAAAAAAATGATGATGATAATATTATAATTAGTGGAATTAATAATAATATTGATAATCAAATGTCAAATTTTGATATTGATATAAATAACAATATATTAAACAATAGTAGTAATTGTGCAATAAATAATGACCAAAATAACAATATTGATCAAGTAATTAAGAACTTAGATCAGAACAACTTTAAAACCTTAAAAATAGCTACACAAAACATAAGAGGAATAACTAACATCACAAAACAAATAGATTGGTTAAAATTTTGTGAAGAGAAAGATTTAGACATAGTTGGACTGACTGAAACCTGGGCAAAGGAGGAAAGTTGTGGATATATATTTAGAAATGATATAATCAAAGAAACACTAAGAAAAGACAAGAATACTGATGAATATAAGTACTTTTGGGCAAATGGACAAAAAACAAAGGGATCAGGAGTCGGAATCATGATAAAAAAAACATGGGCAAAACATGTTTATAAAATTGACAAATATGAAGGCAATGTGATCTCTATAAAATTGTCATTTAAAAAGAGAATAAAATTGCAAATAATTGTAGTATATTATCCAGCAAGTGCAGACCAAAAGAAATTAAGAACACATGTAACAAAGTGGATAATACAAGAACTAAACAATTGTATAGTTAAGGACAAACATTATGCAATAGTTATGGGAGATTTTAATGCTACATTCAATCCTAAAATTGACAGGTTCAATGCTAATATAAATGCAAGAAACAGATCAGATAAACCAGAAAGTCAAATTTTAAGATTTCTAGACAATAATAAACTTAAAGATACATTCAGAATGTACAAAGATGCAACAGTAAACACATATTTGCAAAATAAAACAACATTAAACTTTTCATGGAGAAATAGTACTCAAGATATCAAAAGTAGAATAGATCAAATATGGGTATCAGATAATTTAGCAGACCAACTTTTTTGTGCTGACATTATACCCACAGATTTGGAAAGTCACAGTGACCATGCATGTGCAATGATGGAAATAGAAGATAACATATTTAAACACACTAGTTCAATAACAAATCCAAATGAAAGTATGAACAGGATAGAATTTAATTTTAAGGGAACATCAGAAAAAAAATGGAAAAAATACAATAAACAGATTGAAGAAATAATAGGAGAAAATACCTTTGTTGGAAATGACAATATAGAAGAAAAATGGAATTTTTTCAGAAATGTTATAATTCAAAAAGCAAATGAAATAATTCCTAAAAAGAAAAAAATGATATCTGGGAAATATGAAGAATCCAAAGCATTACATAATAACTTCATTACATATAGAAAACTTATAGCTATAAGGAAAATTTATGAGTGGGGCAGACAATATTATACCAACAGTAAACAAAAGGATTTGTTAAAAGAGAAAATAAGAAAAAAGATAGAAAAAACTAGGGAAGACTATAATATAGAAATTACAATTCCAATATGGACAGAAACATCAAATGAGAATAAAAATTGGTTAAAAGAGGTTAAAAAGATGCATCATACTTTGCACAAGATATTTGATGCAGAAATAAAAGAGGCAAATTATAAGAAAATTAAAGAACAAATTATTAAAAGAAATAAAAACTTTTTGGATAACAAAAAAATAGTTATTCAAAGTTTACTAAATAAAGAAAGACCAAGAATAGTAACAGATAGTTTATCCAGAATAACCAACAAACAAATTGAAGTAATAACAGATCCAGAAGAAATAAAGCAAGAAATCAAAAATGTATTTAGTCATTGGATCACACCAAAAAACATAGAAGATCTGAATCAATACCAAGAATGGAAACAGACCTACAATCAAAATAATGAAATACGAGAGGAATGGTATTTACCACTTACAAAAAATTTTACAGCAGAAGAAATAGAAGGAATTATTAGAAATTTACCAAATAAAAAGGCACCAGGTCCATCCAATATTTCCAATGAACTATGGAAACACATGGGAAACAATGCAATTCAGTTTCTTACAAATATATTTAACCAGATCTTAAAAAATAAAGAAGTGCCAAAAGAATGGTCAGAGGGACATATATTTCCTATAGCTAAACCAAAAGATTGGAAGAAGAATATATGGAATACCAGACCAATAACTCTATTAGAAACAGTTTGGAAAATATTTACAAAAGGAATTTATAATAGACTCAGTACAATTATTGCAAAACATAAAATTCTTAATGAAAATAATTGGGCAGGCTTGCCTGAGGGATCAACACAGGGTCCAATACATATATTAAACAACTGTATAGAAGAAGCTAAAGAATTCAAAAAAGAAATATGGATCCTATCACAAGATATATCAAAAGCTTTTGATTCTGTAAATATAGATATGTTAAAGAAAAGTATGAAAAGAATTAAAATTCCAGAAGAAATTATAGCAATTTTAAGTAAACTAATAGATAATAGAACTAGTAAAGTAATAACTTATTATGGGCTGACAGAAGCCTTTAACTCTAACCAGGGGATAGAACAAGGAGATGCATTATCACCACTATTATGGAGAATATACTATGACCCATTATTAACTCAAATTCAAAAGCAAGCAGAGGGCTATTACATGGAGGAATTAAAATATGGTGATATGAGAATACAGGAGAAAAGGATTTTTAAATACAAAATAAACTCACTTGCATATATGGATGATACCACATACATATCCCAAGATAAAAAGCAAATGGAAAAGATCTTAAAAACAGTGGAGGAATTCTCACTAATAACAGGTACACAAATTAATGCTGAGAAATCTCATCTTATATGTATAAACAACCTATCCAAAAACAAAGAAGAAAGATCTATCAAATTTATGGGAGAAGAAATAAATGCAAAAGACAAGGGAGAACATGTAAGAATATTAGGTGTTTGGATGTCAGCAAATGGGAAGAAACAATATCAAAAAAAATTGTTAGAAGAGAAGGTTAAAAATATTTGTAGAATATTGACATGGAAAAAAGCTACAGACAAAGAAGTTAGGTACATAATTAACCATGTACTATTCCCAGCAATTGAATATCTTTTAAATGATATAATTTTATCTGAAAATATATGCAACAAATTAAATTCTATGTGCTTAAAAGTAATTAAACACAAAGCTGGTTTTGCACAAACAGCTATTAATAGTCTATTCTTCTTGAAGGAAGGATATAATTTGTTTAATATTTATGATCGACAGATACAAATGCATGGGAAAAACATTAATGATCGTTTAAATAGAACAGATGTTTTGGGAATAACAACCAAAATAAGATTACAGCAGTTTCAAAACTTTGTATGGACAGATGAATCATTTATGGAAAAAGAAAATACAATTAAAATTAAAGAAGGATTCAACCTCACAGCATCAATAATTGAGTTGTGTAAGAAAAACAAAATAAAATGGCATAAAACCAAAGAAGGAGAACACAATCTTCAGATCCCATATGGAGGGAAAATATTAATGGAAACAATATTTAGAAGTATTGGGCAAAAATATGAGTTACAAAGAAAAAGTTTAAGAGAAAAGAAAATTTTATATTTGGAACAAATTTTAGATCTTGAACTTAAAAAAGTAATGGAATGGTCACACTTGCAAGCCAACTATAAAAATAGGAAGGGCAGAATCCCAAATTGGTATAAACTTATAAAGACCAATGAAAAAAGAATTTTGGAAATTTGTGGCAAGAAGATTGAACAAACATATGAACAATATTATAATCCTTTTTTCCAAATACAAAGCAATTATAATTTAACTAAACAAAATTGGATAGCAAAAAAAGAGACAAATAATAATAGAGTAATTATAGGAAGAATAAAAAAGAAAACAATAAGAAAGAAAAATAAAATGAAAGAGAAACTTCTGAAGCATTATGATTTATTAACAAGAAACATGGAACCCACTTCAGTATTAATTCCTTGTGAAGGTTGTGAAGAAAATATTGGAGATAAAGCAGATGAATGTGTTATAAGACTGGACAATAAGAATGAGACAGAAATAGAAATACCTGTAGCATACTCAAAAGCTTCAACCTCAGAAACAAGTAAAAAAAAATATAAACATAGAATAAGAATGCCATTTAAAAACATTAAAAAAGCACTAGAGATTATAGAATCTGCTAATAAAGAACCAACTGAGAATCAAGATATACATTCAAACATAAATAATATTGAAACAAACCAAAATATCATTAGAAAATGGTTAATAACAGAAAATTCAGTATATAAAAACTTAGAAACTATCAGGAACAAATTAAAAAATAGGACAGAGGTTAAAGTATACACAGATGGCTCAATGAAAAATATACTCGAGAAAGACCATATGGGCTTAGGATGGGTGATTATAGATCAAGAAAATATTAATCATATGACATTCAGATGCAACTTAGAAAAATTCCCATCTTCAACTAGAGCAGAACTAATGGCAATACTTACAGCACTAATAGTAATGCCAAAAAGATCAATGGTAAACATATATACTGATAGTGCATGTGCAATATACAATATAAGCAAGATAAAGAAAGGAAATACAAACTTTATATGGAATGGAGCCAACAATCCTATTATCCTTCAGACAATAAAAGAAATTATAGATGAATTGAAACTACAAATCATATTACATAAGGTTAAAGCACATGAAGGAAATCATTTTAATGAAATAGCAGACCAACAGGCACAAGTTACAGAAAAAACAATAAAAAATGGTCAATCAATTAAAATTAATTACAAAAGCATTGAAAGTAGATCATTTATTCCAACATGGGAAGAAATACCTCTGGAGCTACCATTAAAACAAACATTTAAAAAAATAAATCAAATCAGAAATAGGCAAAGATGGAAATTGCAAAAAAGATTTCAAAGAATTCTAGATAATGAAAAAACACAAAAAATTGATTGGACAACCACATTTAAATCATTGCACCCCAGTAAGATAACAGATCATAATACAAGTAAAGAAGACCAGGTTAAAAGAAGCTTTGCAATGAAACTCTTCAATGGAGAATTACCAGTAATGCTCCAAAGATTCAAGCACCAACCTCACATATATAATAATCCAAAATGTATACTATGTGGAAGATATGAGGAAACTGATATACATGTGTTTGAATGTAAAAGAAACAACAATGAAGATAATAGATGCACTCCAATGAAAGAACATTATAAACAACTAATAGATTGCTTGACTACAAAAATCAAGACACAAACAGAAGAGA